ATATGAAAGATATCAATCTCTTACAGTAGCGAAAAGAACATAAGCAAAAGCAAAGTGGAATAACCGACCATAGACACACATACAAACACACCCCTTTCTAGCTTTCTCCTCTAGAAATTTCCAGTTTTGCTTTATACTTGCTTTCCCGATTTTGGATAAAAAACAACAACAAACAAAAAAAACCACCAGTTTGGTCAAGTTTATTGCTGCAAATTTTTTTTTATAATATGACGCAAGGATACTGCTTTGTCATCTTACAGATGATCTCACGCAACACAGACTAGAAGAGCTGGAATGCACTGACTACCTTCATTCCATTCGCCAGAAGATTCCGAAAATCAGTGACTTATCTTCAAGATTAAAAACCAAACTTGTTCAAGATCCTCTTGTACTGGACAGCCAGGGCAATCTCTTAGATGAGGAAAATGTTCTAAGGTCAGTAGTTTCTGGACCGAAAGAGTCTTGAAAAAGATTTATGAGATTTCTTAGTAATGCCACTTCCTGGGGAGGTGCTCCCAGAAAAATTGGGTGGGGTGTGCGGCCCGCTTCCCAAAACCCTTACCCTATTTATGACCAAAATCTGCGTTTTTCCCTACCCTATTTATGACCTGACCACTGAAAATTCGATCCCCTATTTGTGGCCGTTGCGGCTGGCACAGTTGATCTAAACATAATTTATGAAGGACTTTTGTTGATGGTCTTGTCGATAATGATGAAAAAGTAGCTTCTTCTAAAAACATACTTAATTCAAGACCAGAGACTGAGCAAAAACCATACCCTATTTGTGACCAAAATGACCAAAATCGAGGTAAGAGTTGAACCGGAACGACAGGCTCATCGTCTTTCAGTGGTGATTATGAACGGTTAAACGAAGCGAGATAAAACAAGCAGCGAAAAACCCTCGTCAAGTGTCTCAAAAATATCAGAAGGCTCGCTGCAATTTTGGTGAGATTGCGCAAGAGCCCATGAGAGTGTATAATATTTGATGGGCAAACGATAGCAAGTCTTTCGAACTCTCATCGACTCCCCTTCCTCTCGTTCCGGCTTAATCGAGCCCCTATTCAGTGAACTGACCAAGAGATTATAGTATAAACTTCAAAGGAGTGTCCTGTACGCTCTCAACTATGGCAACGTCTTAGCAAACACTTCTGAAATTAAATAAACGCTCAAACAATGAAGAGATTCCGCATTGTTTTTCATTCTACGATATTTTTCTATTGTTAGAGCGCTTATTTCGGATAAATCTGAGAACTTAGAATGGGTTAACAACGGAAATAGCGTTTTTTTTTAAAATGAATACTACGCTTCATTTACAGAATAGATCATCAAGCGCCTTATGATTTGAGAAGTAAAGAGGAAAAAAGACACATAGACAAGGAAATATTCTTTAAGATGATGCCCAACGATAGAGTGGACGAGGTAAAAAAATGTCACTAAAATTATAACATAATTAAAGAGTTGATTGTGAGCTTCATACTTACAAATGAATGTGACAACCAAGATTTTTACCTTAACAAGGTGTGCATCGGTTGTGCTACTCTGTTGTAATTCGCTATATGGGCTATCTTCACTCCATAGCAGCCCTCTAAAAAGAGTCGACTCGACACTAATAATATTGTTAGAATTCATTTAAATATGTACAGGGTGCGACGAAAACAAATTTTCAGGGCCAAGCTCTAATTATGATGTACCGGCCCGAAAAACATTCTCACTAGCCTCGCCAAACAGTTCTTCTCTTGTACTCAAGGAGTCCTGTAACTATGAATTTTCTCAACAATTTTCCCAAGAAACCTCATTTGCCCATCGATCAAGTGAAGGACAGAATCCACTCGCCCGGATGGAAAATCCACCACTGAATCCCAGGCTATCGGACGGGACTTTCGGTGTACGTTGCTTGTGTACTGAATCGCCTATAAATTCTGAGCTGCTTCCGCTTCAACTTATGCTAACTGCCGATATCATACGATGGCAAATTTTTCCGGGCTACGAATCAGTCTTTCATATTGCCCTCCAAAGCTCTTGGATTTGTGTTTCACAAGATTATCGTGAGGTCATCGTTTTCGAAAACCTCATTTTTTTTTTTAATGTTTTCTGTCCACACAAAAACAAAAGGCCGAATGTTTTCAAATTTCTCCGGTTTGAAGAAAGAAAGAAATATAGAAATAAAGCTGTGTTTTCAAATTCATCCGGGGTAATGAGGACGGGACCTACATCGTTATATGATTGAGTTGTTTTTGTACGCAGAATAAGTTCACAAATGAAGCCAAGGAAATAGAAGACATCGTTAGCCCGGT